CAGAAGGCTCTCTTTCTGCACCCCGCCAGTCGACATTCTTTCATTGACGGGATCCACAGCATACCCTCCCTGCCTGACCAGGTGGGTCGGGTAGATATAACGGGGGTGAGACGGTCCCTCAGGTAACCTTAAAATGTCATGTTCTGTAACCAGAAAAGTCAAATTCAGATATTGGACAAAATATGGCAAGGAATTTTCCTTGAGAAAGATACGTTATCTACAGGGTTACAGTATGTTCTGTTTTCTTTGTCATAATTACTGAGGAAGGAAAAGAGCATGTATGACTTTGTAGGTCACAAGCTGTGATCCAAATGAATAACAAAGACTGGGCTGTGCAGAGGGACAGGGGACTGCGCCAAGTGAACTAATACACTGTACTTGGCTTGACAGTTTCTAATTCCTGAGTGAACAAATCTTTTGTCAGGACTGTACCCAAGAATATCTACAAAGTATAAGGTTGGCCTCATTCAGGGCATTTTAAGTAAGAAGGAACACCTTGAATCAGGATTAGAAGCGAAATGGAAGTCAAAACCATGGATCAAGTACTAGTGTAATAATCTGCCAGATATATGAGACTGAACTGATTGTATCTGGATTGAAGGTATCTTGAGCTTCAGAACAAACTTTTAGCACATTTTAGTAGTAATATTTTGAGAAAGTTAACAGGACAATGGTAGGCAATGACCTGGTAGACTTTATTATTCAGAAAAAAATGCAATATATAACAGCTAGTGTATAACATGTAAATGAGAAACAGCAGTCCTGGCAAGAACTACTACATAGATATTGGAAAGTACAGTATGGTCTGAGATCATTTTTAGCAGAATTTCTAATCTACTAGAATATTTGCAACCATGTTTAAGACAAGCAGATTGATCAATTCAACAAAAAAGTTGGTCAGATTCACTGAAATGTACTGATGAAAGGGAAAGAAACTCTCTCTCAGTCTGGCTCTTTTTGATAACTTTCACCAAGTCTCAGTCTTCCTTCTGTTTAGGGAAGTTGAGGAGATGATGGAGATTCAGCTCCAGAGAATCATAGAGGAAACACATTATCTAGATCCCTTTCAATCAGGGTTCCAGTCTGATCATGAGACTGAACAGCATTGGTCATTCTGGTAGACAATCTTTGTTGGGAAATGGATGGGGCATGAATACCTTCTAGTCCTCTTAGATCTCTCAATAGGATTAAATACCCTCAACCATGGTATCCTTAGGGCAACCTGCAAGGATTTGAAGTTGAAGGCACCTTTTACAATGGTTTCACTCCTACTTGAGTGGACAGTTCTGGTTCATAGTCATAGGTGATGAGTAGTCAAGCCTTTGGTTGCTTGGTTGCTTTAGTGTGGAGTGACATAGGGGTTGGTTCCCTCTCCCATGTTATTTAACATTTGTATAAGACTTCTGAGAGAAGTAATCTAACAGTTCAGATGAAGTGCCATCCAGTCCAAAGCAAAAATGCTATTGAGGTCTTAAACTGATGCCTGAAGGCTGTCATAAACTGGATAGGGCAAAACAAGCTCAAATTAATTCCTGTCAAGACAGAGTTACTGCTGGTCAATTAACATCATGGCTATGAAGTAACATCAACCCTTGATGGGGTTCTACTTCCACTGGACTTGATCTGTGATTTGGTTCTTGCTACAACAGCAGGTCCCCTTCATGGATCACTGCCTTGTCGTGGCGAAGGGGCTTGCGTAACTCAGTGAAGCCATGAGCTATACCGTGCAGGGCCACCCAAGACATGACAGAGAGTTCTGACAAAATGTGGTCCACTGGAGAAGGAAATGGCAACCCACTCCAGTATCCTTGCC